GTAAAGAACATATATTCCGTTTCCAAATTTTTCTGTAAAAATTTCAATCACAAATGCAATTAAAGCAAGAGAATATCCAATGCCTAATACATGAAATAGCACAAAGAAAAGTTTATTCTTTTCAATCATCTCAGGCCGCAAGATTTTGTTGATGTTTACTTTAGGTGGATAAAAATCTTTAAGCAACCCAAATTCAAAAGCACTTCGAATTATTTCATTGAAGCGATTATTGTAAGGACTAATACTTAACTCTAATAAAGTTAAGTCAAGATAAGCAGATTCTTCCAGTATTTTAACATTTAGTTCAATTTTACTTGCATACTTATTAATAAGACTTTCAACATCCGAAAAAAGACATGTTATGTTTTGATGTTCAATCATGTATGTTAAACAATAATCTTCATATCCTTCCTCACTTTCTTCGTATCCTTCTCTATGAAGTTCATAAGTTATTGATCTTGTACGTGCTAGTTCTTCAAGATAGGGATCAGAACATTCACTTAATCTATACCAATCTTTCATAGTGAGCATTGGTTTTAAAGATGAATTAGCAAGTTCTTTGAAATTTGATATTTCGGGTTCTAGTGGCCAAGTGATGTCTAAAATAACTGAATAAAAATAACCTGAGTAGACGATGCATGTTATCAATAGTGAGCCAAAAACAATTCTTTCCAACAATTTTTTTGGTTCACGAGCAGTAGACATTCCAATTATAATTTGACTGATGTTTAACATTTGCCATATACTCTTCTCAAATCTCATAAAAAAAGCCGTCAATCGAATGATGACAATCATGCCAATTGTTCCCAATAGCAAATACCAAAATTCTTCTGACATAATCATGACACTGGAGTGTTTTAACCTCTTTGGAATAACAAATTTATGACTATTAAATTTTAAAATTTCTGGCTTATTGCTTATAAATCTAGCATCAGTTGTACTATATGTCATTATTGATGGGAATGAACTAATTATAGACTTTTCTTGAATCTCTGAATTTTCTAAAAAATATTTAAAATTCATTGCATATGCGAAAAGAGTCAATGAATGCCTTTCACTTTTCTCGGAACTTGTGCTTACTTTTAAGCTGCAGTTTTGATTAAAGAATATTATTTTGTATCCATTAAGATCATGTAATTTATTTGGAAACCATTGGCTTTTATTTGACACATTTTCAAAGAAAAATTTCTTAGTAAAAGGATTTATTAGACTTATTTGAGGTACATCGTTTATTTTCTTTGTATGAAGCATCACTTGATGTTGTTGATTGTGTGACAATAAAGTAACATCTAAAAACATATCTTCCCAGAATGAATTTAATGTTTCGTTAAGATTCTTAGAAAAAGAATCTATAATTAAAAATTTTACTGTTCTTGGCCAGAATTCTACCCTGTGCATAATTTCCTCATAGTTGTTAAATTTATTCTCTAGAACAAATATTGATAAATGTTCTAACTTGTCATAAAAATTTTTTAATTCTAATAAATTTTTACGAGATAGTTCGTCATAGGTTACAATCAAAGACGGAAAATTCGTATTTACAGCTTTCATAAGAGAATTTATTACTGGGTCTGTATCGTTCAATTCATTTTCAAGTATAAACACCACCTGATGCAGTTTGGTATCTTCATTTAGGTATTTTATTAATCCATCATAGTAATTACTTGTTGAAAATATTGCTGGAATTTTCGTCAAAAGAAAATAACTAAGAAAATATACACTAATTAAGTTCATTCTGCACAACCACCATATACAACTTTCTAAACTACACTTAAAGAAATAATTCGTTGGTAGAGCTAGAATTATTTCTAGTTTTCACATAATGTATTAGTAAACAGCTATTTGGATACTGACATATACATATTTATAGGCAGTTCAGCCATGCTTAAGTCAACAAAAAAATGGGTAACATAACCTAACTTTATCGCCAGTTCAAAACAAAACCCTAGCCATATTTATTTGTCAGTTTTACCCCCAAAGCATTTCTTTCAGTGTAGTCAAACAATATTGAAGAAAATTACGTCTCGAACTATATATATTTGTTTAGGACTTTTTTGATTTTGTGAAGAACGTTTATGACGTGAAGTATGCTTTAAGACACCATTTGGAGATGTTAAACTTAATATCATTGTTGATATTTTTATTACTATAGTGATGATAAAAAAAATATAAAACTTCAATTTTGTGATATATTTAAATCGACCTTCAATGTCAAATTTTATTTTCAACTAAATTGTATATTTTTATCAATACATTTCATATATTCTCACCTCCCCACAGTCGTTCCAAATGCCAAAAACGTGACCAAAAATCGAAAACGCAATTAAATCATTCTGAAAATCATTAATCGAGTGTTTTTGGAGTCGCTGATTACGAATCTGATGTCAGTTTTAAAAAATTCAAAATGTCGGATCCAATATGGCGGATGTCAAATTTAAAAAGTTATCGGATTGGCTAAAAACTTATTACTCGGGGGTTTTTGGGGTCGCAAATTAAAATTTTTTGATCATTGTAATATAAACTAAACTTAAAGAAACATATATTTGCATGTACAAATACAGAAAAAAATATGACCTTTATACTGACACTATTACTCACATATTTAAACGATTAAACGAACTTACCTAAGTGAAGTTCAATCGTAATTATACGATAGCCTCGTTCGAAGGGATTACAATGTAGTATCATCTCTAGCCACTTGCGTCGCCACAATTTAGAAACAAACAGAAAGGGCTCTCCTTCTAGCGGCCCATCGGCATCTTGATCATTCTTTTAGAGTGTGCATAGAAAAAATTGTCATGATTTTTAGGGTGGGTAAGATAGGATTGAAAGGGTGGGTGTGTAATCCCTTCGAACGAGGCTATCGTATAATTACGATTGAACTTCACTTAGGTAAGTTCGTTTAATCGTTTAATTATACTTCCCGCCTCGTTCTCGGGATTACAATGTAGATGTTTAGAGCTGACAATTTTTCTCGAATTATTTTTATTTATTTATTTTTTTTTTTAAATTACATATCAAAATTACATGAAAAGATCCTTTATGGATTAAGAACAGCCTCAAAGAAGGTTTCAGAATCTAATACTGGTCTATTGTAAAATTGCGCAAATACAGCAGATTTTTCTGACCAGCCTACAGTGTTTTTAATCACTCTTAAATCTAGTCCTTTTTTATAGGCTTTGGAGGATGAGGCGTGTCGCGTACTATGTGCTGTGAAACCTTTATCAACACCACATGTATCTAGGACCACCTTAATCCACCGGCTTAAAGTCTGACTTCCTATCACTCGATGAGGCTTTTTAAGACTAATAAATAAAGTTTTTTCTTCACCTCTCAAAGCTTCCGTTCTTTTAATATATTATATATATATATAAGTATATTAAAGTGATATGAGAGAAAGCGTTTGAACTCGATGTCCTGTCCCCAGGGTTAAAAGTATAGCCAATTTATAAGAAAGTTTGGTAAGATTTAAATCATGGAGCGGAAACCAATTTTCAATTTCGTCTAACACTAGCGATACGTCCCAGGTACTATTATATTTTGGTCTACTTGGTTGGAGTTTAAAAACTCCTTTGAAAAAGCGTTCCATCATGCTATCAGTAATTTTTTCTTTGGAGATAAGCGAAATTGCAGACCTAACTGTATTTAGAGTCCCATAAGAGGATCCATTGTTAAATTCTAGCGTTAGGAATTCTAAAATTGCTTTTGAATCTTGCTCGAAAATGTCTAAATTTTTATTTTTGCAATACGTCCACCACTTTTTTAATGCTGAATTATATTGTTTAATGGTGGATTCGGTCAACGAAGCTATCAAGACGTCTATTGTGTTTTCGGGCATTTGTTTTCTTGTATAACTTTCCCGGACAAGATACCTGCAGCCAGGGAAAGAGTTTGTGCCATCGGATGAGATCGAGTTCTGCAAGAAGACATGAGAAGATTTAAATGTGGTTTGAATATTAGAGGTTCACTTATTAATAAAGAGCGGAACATCGGAAACCACGGCTGTGAGGTCCAAAAAGGAACTACGACGATTCCTTGGGCTTTATCAACTTTGATTTTCTTTAATGTTCTTAAAATCATTGAGAACGGAGGAAAGGCGTAAAAGAATTTTTCAGACCAAGAAATGGTGAAGGCATCAATTGCTACCGCGAATTGTGAATTTTCGAATGAGCAAAAATTTCGGCATTTAGTGTTTAGGTCTGTAGCGAAAAGGTCTATATTGGGTTTGGAGAAAGTGTTAACAATCTTTTTATAAGCGAAATTCGATAACTCCCACTCTGTGTCTAGATTTTTTAATCTGGATTGGGTATCAGCATCAACATTTTCCTTGGAAAGAATGTAAGATGCGAAAATCCATATATTCCTTTTTTCGCACCAATCCCAGATTTTTTGACTAAGAGAATTAAGATGGGGAAATTGGATTCCACCCATCCTGTTTATGTACGAAACTGCTGTCGTATTATCGATACGCAGCAAAATTTCGCAATTACACTAGAGTCTCCGAAGAGAGGACAGAAAGAGTCTTGGACCTCTCTACGGAATTCGTCCTTGACGCCGAAAATTGTAAACACTCCAGGGCCGTATATCGTATCACAGAGATGTGTTTTTTTAACAGAATACATTCTGTTACGTTTGTAAAACACTACGCGAGAAAGGTACACTAAAAACAAACGCTCCTGAGTTCACGTTCCTCTTTCTGATCCCGCCCATCTCTTCCCCCCTCACTCCTTACCGCGCCGCGTCACTACTTAGTCCTCTCTTCAGAAGTCCTCTCTTGGGAGACTCCAGTGTACTCAGGTCTTCTGCAAATGATTTTAGTCCCCAAAACGCTGCTAAAAAAAAAAAATCTTCTATCAATTTACACGCTGTACGTAAATCTTCGATTTTGAAGTGGGGTACTATTATACATTTGTTAACACTTCTTCAGGAAAGCAGACGGATATTGCTTTTATTTCTAAAAGTTTATTAATTTCTAACCTCAAAGCGTCAGTTTCCGAATCATTCCAAATTCTCTCTACAGGTTGAGAGAATTGCGTAGGAATTTGAGCAAAGGGAATTTTAAACCCTTGCATGCAATTTAAAACAAATGTATCAGTGGTAATTTTTGCCCACTTTTCACAAAAATTTTTAAGATTACCGGCCGTACGTACCTCTATTGTCTCGGTATGTTCGATTTCCTGTTGAAATTCGATTGTCGAGACTGTCCTTGGTGATATCGTGACGTTGCCGGAACCGATTTGGCTCTCTTCGGATTGAAAGAATTCGTTCGAGACGTATAAACTCAGCTCATCCGCGTAGTCTCCGGTCTCTTCGAGGATGAGCTCCTGGAGTTTAAAGAACCAGATGGTTTTTGAAAGTTACCTGCAGATCCATGAGCGTTTTTCATATCGCGGTTGAGTTTTTCGAAAGTTTTGGCTTCATTAACTTTTTCATTTAATTTATCATTAAATAAATAGACTTGATTTTCTGTCGACGTATTTAAAATATCTCTGACAGTTTTCGAGTAACCTGGTGTGATGAACGCACGTCTTGCGATGGAAATAGCATGGAAAAGTTCTGTCATCATTTTTCCGGCGTCTGACAGTAGCTGCAAATGTTGTAAAGGTTGAAGTTGCTCCTCTCCAAGTAAATTTGAAATAGCTGGTCCTATGGCGGCCAGAGCAGAACCAGTCAGTCGCTGCAAATCCTGAAAATGGTCGTCTCGTTTTTTGGCTATATCATTCATTGGCACTTTAATTTCTGGGTTCAGCTGCGGAGGTTCAAGAAGACAGTCGCCCTTCCTTGGATATTTATTTAACAAATCCTCCTTTTCTTTTTCGGTTATGCCTGAAATGAGCCAATATTTCCATCTAGAGGCGACATCTGGGTGTAACTTGGTTTCTCTCGAATCTTTTGCTGCGGGATCTTCGCCAAGGATGTCGAGTTTGTTGGGTTTTACTTTACCATCGGAGATAAGATTATCATCGTCAAGCGGAGGATTCTTATCATTTTTGGCATTTTCTGCAAGAAAAAAAAACGATCTGGATTAGTCCTGTACTTATGCACAGGCTCACCAGTCGAAGATCGGACTTCTCTCACCTTAGAGTGAGCTGTGCCGTCTTTTTCTTTATTTTTACTTTTACTTACCAGAAGGATTTTCAACTGAAACAATTGAAGACTTGGAACGTGAACGAGAATGTGATCGGGAATAGGAAGAGTAATCTTTTCTACGTATAGGACTTCTTGACCTTGACTTGGATGATGAGCTGGAACGAGAGGAGCGTCCAGAACTAGAAAGCGAACCATCACGAGAATCCGAATCTGACGATGAATATCTGCGTTCACGCTTCTTTATTTTATGTTTTAAATGTTTCACTATCTTTTTCCAGTCTCTTACTTCCTTTTTAGACTTCGATTTTGACTTTTTTGAACGTTTTCTTTGATTTCCCATTTTGATACGATGTAACGACGCGAAGCACAAAGAAACGAATGATCAAGATGGCGATGGGCCGCTAGAAGGAGAGCCCTTTCTGTTTGTTTCTAAATTGTGGCGACGCAAGTGGCTAGAGATGATACTACATTGTAATCCCGAGAACGAGGCGGGAAGTATAATTGAGGTTATTTTATGATACTTACAAAATCAAAAAACGCACCTTGCATAAGACAAACTGTTTTCACGTATATCCCTTCTTCCGATCGATTTAAAGAAAAATTGTTTTCATTGATTAATTTAAGTTCAAAATCCAGTTACTGGGTTAGGCTAACCCATTATAATAGTTATAATAAGTTAACAATAATAAATTGTTTAAACAAATAACAATAATTTATATAATGCACATACCTTAAACATAGATAAAGTATAAAAATTGACTTAATTTAGCATTGGAAGTCGTATTTTGTTGAGTTGAAATCAACCGAGGAGACAGTTACTGTATTGCACTATTAATATCAATCACGTATTGGTGAAGCAAATATGCATTTGTAGAGAAAGAGGAGCAAGTCTTCTTTTTTTAAATTAAACATGAATGTGTCTAAGACTTTAGAAAATGAAAATTCATTACAATTTAAGAAAATGAGACACACTTTTGAAAATGGCGTTCTCTTACTTGTGAAACATCCCGAGGCGAAATTTAAGCCATAATTTACAAGGAGTAAAGTAGAGTTAAACAGACCCTCTTTAGCTTCCTCAACTAGTCGCAAATTTCCCTTTCTTCCACGTTTGGATTTAAAGTAGGGTCTAAAAATTGATTAAAATATTGAAAATTTTGAAATTGCTCTAATTCTATTAATTTTTTGAAAACGCTTCAAAATATGTTAATTCCAGTTTTTAAAGGGTAATTAAAGAAATATTGTGTGAAGAAAAAATTCATTTTGCTTTAATCAAAATAATTAAAAGAGTTTTTTTTTGCATTTTTTTGTACTTTTTTAATCGAACTAGACCCTCTTTAGCTTCCTCAACCAGTCGCAAATTTATCTTTCTTCCACGTTTGGATTCAAAGGAGGGCCTACGGGAGTCTACAAGATCGTTAAGAGGGCCTATTTAGGTTCTAAGGGAAGCTAAAGAGGATTCAAATTTCGCCTCGGGATACAATTGATGTAACGCACTGGACGCTTGAGAGAAAACCAGTTTTCTGAATCAGGTGTGCGCTTTAAACTCTCAAAAAGGGTTGTTTCTGAAACTAAATACTCTAAGCTAATAAGTGGGGCTGTGGAAAATCTTTGAATTAAAACTTTTTTCTATTTTTGGCCACGTTTTTGTCATTTGAAAACACTGTGCTCCCCTTCTGTATTCAATAAAATTTACGGCGAAAGAAATGCCAAAAATTTTTAAAATGTCAATTTTTGAAAAGAACGATTTTATGAATAAAGTCGATGACCCTCAAACAATATGAGAGAGGTTTTAGAAGAATGATGAAATCGTTTTATGATGACTACATATAGTCGCACTTTTTAATACTCAAGGACTTTCAAAAAACTGCTGGGAGCTTAGACAGGCTTTAGTGATAGGAACAAGGGGTCCGCTGAATTTGCAAAATCTCAACTCAACCTCTTCACGCGCTACTCTTGTCAGGAACATCGATTAGATATGATTCAATGAGCCTTCCGGCATTATGAGCTTCATATATGTAGTATAAGTGAGGATGCCCCGAGCATCAAACTCAAAGCATATCTACCACGAGCAAGAATTTCTCATATGTCAATATCAATTTCACACAAAACTTTCTCGTAAGCATAAAAATAAACTCAATATAAGAATCTAATTAGAACTTAACCAAAAAAAAAAGAAAAAAAAACTTTTTTCATATCGAAACATGTCAATAAAATGAGTTTGCTCTTTGTAAACATTAACGTTCAAAATTTCAAATATACTTTCCTATTAATTTTTCTTTTATAATTATTTATATTGTATTTAAATATTTATTGATTTGCTTCTTTCAAAGAAAGTGTAACGTAACAGTTTTTTAAAATGTTTATAATTTTTAAATAACAAGGCATACAGGAATTTTTATAAATGCATCTAAAAGTATAAGTCGTCAATAAAATTTTCTATTAATTTTAAAATTCATGTACGTAATTTTAACAGCATATGATTGTTAGGTTCACAATGTTAATTTTGTTGGGAACTTTAATCTTAAAATAATGAATGGATTGATCTGAGGTATTCTATTAGTATAGGGGAGACTGGGGCAAACCTGCCATGTTAACAGTTGTAAGGTTCTAGTAACTAAAGAAACTGATGAAAAACCTTTTATAATAGATTGTTGGAAAGGTCATCTAATTGCGCAACTTTTTCCTAGAGACACATGTACCTTAAAATGCTGCATTAATTTTAAAAAAATTTGCAAACTGGCCGGTAAAATTTCGTAAATCTCCGTAAAGTGGACTTCGTGAATTTCTGTTGCAAGGGAAACAGACATAGGTCAGTTTGCCCCACAGGCCTATTTTGACAATTAAGACCTGTTTAAAAAAAATGCTTAGTAAAATCATTAAATAATATACCGATAAATTTAACTAAGGCATGCACCTTTTAAACCTAAAAATCAATTTTAATAAATATTACACGATTTTCTTACAAATTGCTTATGAACAGATCCGTAAAAATTTCTAGCAGAAGCGAACAAACAAACTTTTGTTTATAAAATTGCATAAACACAATTAAAAAATGTCAAACTGAAGAAATAAGTTATTCTTAATATAGTCTTTTCAAATTTATAATTGACATATTTTAAAGTTTGACCATTTCTGAGGAACTAACACCTGCAAAAAAATGACAAATGAAAAAAAAGACACGCTAATTTATTCTCTAAAAGACAATACTTTTCAAAAATCAAAATTTTGAATTAAAATTTTCTTCATTTTCTTCACTTCAATTTAAATATTAATTCATACTCTAAACTTAAAGAAACATGCGCAGAATATTCTCTCGTTGGTGAAATTATGCAATAATAATAGGATTAACGCTTTCCAATTATAATTAAAGTTCCACAATTATGCTCTCAGAATTGTCAGAAGTTGAAGTTTATATGTATATACTCAACGAAAGAAAACTGAATTCTTAAGGAAGTAAATCGAGCATTAATTGAATTATAATTCTCTTCAATAAAAATTATGTTTTATGATCAAAATTATAACGATTTAAACATTTTTATATTATTTTTTTCTAATTTTGAAATTAATATTTTCATAAATTGCAAATTAACGTTAGATCTAATTCTACAGGGAATAATTATGAAAACCAATTAATAGTAAAATATAATTATAATTTACAATATTAGTTAATTTACAAGCTATTATAAATTGGATATTATTGCTAAAATTGCATTTTGTTTCTCTATATTTAATCACGTTTATAATTTTTGCTATTAAAAGATTTTATGTTTTTGAATAATTTCTACTAGGTACAGAAATTGTTTTATAAATCCGTATTTGAATAAATTTAGCAAGTGGGTTAAAATTTGATTATGCATTTATGTGAAAGCAGAGTGCACATGCATTTTAAAGGGTCATTACCTTCTTTAGGTCCGATTTACTGTTTTTGGCACAGCACCAGGTTAATTCATTTAAATTGGTTTAAACTCTTCGCGCAGATTTTTTTTTCTCTCTCTCTCTCTTTATTTTTCTTTCCAAAATATTCCATATAAAATGTAACAGTACATAAAATAAATCAACAATATTTATAGTTATTTTGAGTCAATATAAATATATTTAAGGAAATATCTATACAAACGGTTATAAAATGACAGAAACGATAATTATTATTTAATTTATATGTAACACCAAAATGGTTTCTTTTGAAGCATACTTTACTTCAAAAACGTTCTTTACAAAATCCAAAGTCTCCTAATATAAACAAAATAGCAACTTTTTATGTCATAATTATTTAAAATTTATTAATTATTATTAATTTTACCTACTCTTAACTTATAATTATTCCCAACACTAATTTCCTCAATTTAACTCAGTTAAATAAACTAAGTTGGGGAGAGGTATTAAATGAATGATTTATAAATAAAAGATTATTTATTTAAACAATGGTATAATCAATGGTATATTCTTTAATAATTAATAAGTTGTTTAGAAAAGACAGTCAAACAATCCTTATTTTTAAAGATTCATCCCTCATAACAAAAGGATATCCCTAGGATATCCATATCAATGGTCGATATCCTAGAATGGTCCCCAGGATATCTTGGGATATCCAAATCGCCGGTCTGTGGGACATCAACAGGACATCCATATGATATCCACAGGATATCCCTAAGACATCCACAAAATATCTATTGGATATTATATCGCAGGATATCCATGGGATATCCTCATGATGTCCGTGGGATATTCTTAGGATATTCACGGGATATTTAATATCTCAACCTATATTTTTAAAGGGTAAAATTGTTAAGCTAAAATAATGAATAATAATATAATAAAAACAAAAATCTTATGAGCTTCTAATTTATTTTAAATGAAGATTTGAAATTCATTTTTCAATTCAAAGTTTTTAAATAAACTCATGCACTTAATGTATAATTAATATTAATAGTTATTCGTTATTTGCAGGGAAGAATTTATATTGTTTAAAGTCAATTTATTTTCTAACAATATTAAGCATATGAATAAAGGAATCAATCACGAATGAGAAAAAAATTAGTTAATAATTTTTCAAATTAAACAACTTTCTCGAAAAACAAGTTGCATTTCATTTTATTTATATACAATTTAATTCACAGAATATTCTCACTCGTAGTCTCATAATGACTGTACAAACAGTATCCTGAGAATATCTTCTTGACATCCAGAAGATATACTGAGAATATCCTGAAAATATCTGTGGGATATCCTGATGATATCTGTGGGATATCCTGACGATATCTGTGGGATATCTGGAGGACATTTATGAAAGTCTATGGAGATATCCAGAAGATATCCTGTGGATATCCTCAGATATCCAAAGGATATCCAAACCGCCGTTTTTTTGGATATCCTTA